TAAACCGGAGGACTGAGGAAGGTTTCTGTTGTGATTTAATGTTAGCTGATGATACCTAACCTGACTAAAGAATGGTTTTATGGTTGGTTAGCGATCAGCCACCCAGTCTTAGCTGACTTATCAGGTCCAGCACCTCCCACACATGGTCTGGTTTAAGCCATCATCTCCACATCAGAAATCATCTCTGTGGCCTGACGTGTCCTTCCTGCTGTCTCTCGTTAGAGCCCTCATCGCTGCTCATATTTCAGCATGCCGCCTCCTCCGTTAGTCATCAGAGACAGAGCGGCTGTGGGAAGCGTTTGGGCCTGATTACCAGGGGAACGCCACAATCCCACATCACACCACCCGTCTACGGCACTTATAGATTACAGAACATTTAACGTCTAACGTTTGTTTAAACGTGAAGATCGGCCCCCTGGTAGAAGGTTTGTTTTACCCGACCCAGGTGAGCACATTACGTAGAACCAGCCACTGGCCGGGTTTTTACCATCAGAGCCCGTCACCCAGGCATAATCTGACACGGGGGGGGGGGGGGGGGGGGGGGGATCAGTGAGCCGTGCATCTGAGGGAACCTACAGCTGCAGGAGAGGCGAGACGGTAGGAGGTCGTAAATCCTGCTGCAGCACTCGTATGATTACATACAGGTGTGTGTGTGTGTGTGTGCGTCACCAAACAGGTTAGTTCTAATCCAGATGTTGTGATTGTTCTTCAGGGTGGGTGGTGGGCTCCCTGGAGATCCTGGGCAGTCCTGCCAGCCTAGTGCGGAGCATAGGGAACGGTGTTTCGGACTTCTTCCGTCTGCCGTACGAGGGTCTGACCCGGGGGCCCGGGGCCTTTGTCAGCGGAGTTTCCAGAGGAACTTCATCTTTTGTCAAACATATTTCAAAAGGTAGCAGCTGTTTACCTAAACTGTGTGATAAATAACAGTTAATCTATGAGTAGCAGCAGTGGACTGACTTCATCGTAAACATCTACATTTCATAATCTAAATGTGTGTAGGCACCCTGACGTCCATCACCAACTTAGCCACCAGCCTGGCCAGGAACATGGACCGTCTCTCGCTGGATGAAGAGCACTACACCAGACAGGAGGAGTGGAGACGGCAGCTACCAGAGAGCCTGGGGGACGGCCTGAGACAGGGACTGTCCCGACTCGGCATCAGCTTGTTAGGTAGGACAGATTCAGACGTCGTTTTTAGGGAGAAGGGACCATTAGTGTTCAGATTCTTACGTTGTTTTAAACTTTTCTGTTTAACATCTGTTAGTCCGGTGTCTCTGTAGGGTATGGGTGAGGGTTACACCTGCTCTAGTCTCACTTACACTGGGTCTTACTTCCCAGGAAGCTCACAGCTGCTTCTGACTTCCTGCTCCAAAATGAGTTTGTTTAGTTCAGCGTAAGGTTTGCTGAAACTCCGTTTTAATGCAAAAGACATTTGAGTTCTGTGCTGTGAATCACCAGGCTTTGGTCAGCCACCACAGCTCATGACCAGAGCTTATCCTTGTGTGGTTTCTGCAGGAGCCATAGCCGGCATCGTGGACCAGCCCATGCAGAACTTCCAAAAGAGCTGGGAGATCCAGAGCTCTGCTGGAAGCAAAGCCAAAGGGGTGATCTCTGGGGTCGGGAAAGGCATCGTGGGGGTTTTCACCAAGCCTATCGGGGGGGCAGCTGAACTGGTGTCCCAGACTGGATATGGTGAGCCCAGTTTGGTTTTAAGGGTTTTTCTGCTTGAGCTGATGCTGGAGGAACTATTAAAGCATGCTTTGGCATCTGTGTGTGCAGCACAGATAATCTGCTCAGATTAGGCCTCATTTATCACATGAACGTGGAATCTGGGACCTACGGACGTCAGCGTTTGTGTTCGCTCTGCGCTCGGCAGCTAAATGAAATCTCACCTTTTAACAATTCCTGTAGCTCAGCTGAAGAAACGTGAGATATGCAGACCTGGCAACCTTGCCAAAATGTTTTGAGTACCACTTAAGCAGCGTTTTTTCACTGACTTCCATTGCTTTTCACGCTGTAATCTCCCCATTCACTGGATGAAATATTTTATACACACACAGACACATACTTGTTCATAGTTCTTATTTTGACTAGTCCGGTTAAAGACATGTTTACAGTTTGACCTGACTCCAAAGTATCGTGTATTTTAATATTAAACAGTAAAACTCTAAAGTTTCCTTATATAATATTTGTGCTTATACAAGCTACTTGCATTAAATTACTTCAATACAAAATAATAAAAAAAAATTTTACATGTATTGAATGGTAATTATTTATTTTTAAATTGCAATAGGTGTTTCTGTTGTCAAGAATGTAATATTAGATTGGCTTAAAGCACATCTGCACACATCATCAGGGCTAATTTACTAATTACCTGCAGCTCCCTGGTGGCTTATGTCCACATCATAATTGCAGATTGTGTAAAATGCATGCTGAGGTTGTTTGGAGGGTCGCAAGCATGACCACTGCTCTTGATGTTTGGACAAAAACTTCTGCGGCACATGGACCATCTTCTTTTTGGCAGGTCTGCTAACCAATCCCTCTCTGTCTGCTTCCCCCTCATCTGCCACAGCAAGAGTTGCAAAACAAGCTGCGAAAAAAAATAATGGCTGCATGTTTAAACTGTATAAATAATCACATTCCTCCTTATATACAGGTCAAATCTATCTGATATGGATAAAGGCAAACACACACACACACACACAGCTGCCTCTTTCTCTTTAGTCGCAGATTTTTTATTTTTTTTCACTCAGATTTCGGCTTGAATATTTAACAGTGAAAGTAACATCACGCATTCACATTCACTAAAAGACAGCCGGTCTGTCACACACACACACACACACACACATTTACCTTACCAGAACAGCAGCGAGTGGCAAACCGGAGGGAGAGAGCAGTGGGCAGGACGAAGCAGGGAGGAGGGGGGCGGGGGGTGTTACGCTATAGGTTAGGTTGGATAGTTTTTCTCTGCTTTTCTACGATGATTGGCTTAAACTTCTTCACCACGCCACTGAGTCGTGTTGCCAGACATGAGTACCACACGTGCATATTTGCCACAGAACTCAACTCACGTATCCGGAGCTTTTAGCGTAGTTTAGAGGGGCGAGTCGTACCAGCGTAAATAGATGCCAAAATGCAAACAGGTTGGCAGGTCTGGGTATGAATAACTCTCCTAGAGGCAACAATAAACACATGCGTGAGTTAGAGTGAACGAGGGAGGAAACTCATGCGTCCATCAGTGGATGGATGATCCCGCTCTGCTCCCAACTGCTCCATGCAGGAGCCAAAGTGTTTATTAAAGCAGAAGCCAGGAGAGAGCTGCTGAAAGACCCCTGACACACACACACACTCTGGACTAACTTAGTGTTTTATTGGTGGGTTGGTGTGTGTGTTGGCACTAGGTCTGCCACAGAACATAAACCACTAATGAGGTGAAGAGCTCCATATAAGAGCAGGACCTCCCCAGGGCCTGGCTCTGCTGTGTGTGACCCTCTCAGCTCCACGGGTTAAAAATCGGCCCCAGGTCTTTCTGCTGCTGTGCTGGGTCCTCGGGGCTGTTGGTCTGGGATCAGCTTCACTGAGTAATCTTTTTTTACTTATTATTTTGAAAAACTATCCGTCACTGAGTCTCTCACGCAGGCTGAACATGAAAATAGTCTCCTACACCTATCCCCTGCAGTAGCTTCTGAGAGAAAACAGATGGTGAAACTCTAGGATTAGAAACTCCTGACAGATCTACGTCACACTGTCACTAACATTCATGGACTCACCCATCTGGACTCACGACAGGGAAGGCTGTTGTTGGTTTAGCATCCAGGAAACAGCAGAGAACGTCTCCGCTAGTAGAAGCTAACTGTTAGCATTAGCATCTCCCCCACACACCAGAACTCCTCCAGGCTTGTGTTATTTGTTTCGCTTCTCTGAGGAACTTTGTCAGTTTTAACAAAGCTCCTCAGAGAAGTGAAAAGTCTTCAACAAACCAAAGAAGTCCAGCTGCCTTCATCTGAACCCTTTGGATTACCATGACCTGGATGACTGAGAACCTTCACCAGCGTATAACAATACACTTCTCAGGCCAACGGTAGGGCTCCTGTCCGTCTAGGGTGTTTCTCAGTGTTAAGGAACCTTGCCTTGGTGCCACTCCGGTTGCCTAGGAGAACGGCATCAGGAACCACCAAGCCAAAAATATAAACACAACACGTTTGTTTTTGCTCCCATTTCTCAGGAGCTAAACTCAAACATCTGAAACTTCTTCTACAAACACCAAACAGCCATGACTCTCAAATATTGATCTGAAATCTGTCTACATGTGTTAGTGAGCACTTTACCATGATAATCCATCCCACCTCGCAGGTGAGGCATATCAAGGGGCTGATGACAGCATGAATGATGTACAGGTGTGCCTTAGGAGAACTCCTAGCTTCAGACTTTATTGAGACTGAGAAGATGGACCGCAGCCGTCGTTCTCACACCTGAGCCCTCAATTCTTCCTTAAGGGTAAAATGTAAAATAAGCAAACTGAGACTCTTATGAAGTTAGTCGTTTACCCAGTGAGATACTGGTTCCATAAAACCCTTTGATGTCCACTCAGATCATCAGCGGTCTCTCTCTCTGTGCTCAGAGCTAAAGGGGGTTAAAAGACCAACCTCCAGGTGATATTTAAGCTCCTCCCAGCGAGAGCTTTGCCGACTTACTAATATCAGTAACACTTGGTTTGTTTCTGTGCTCTCAGGGATTCTCCATGGAGCCGGCCTGTGGCAGCTTCCTAAACAGCTGCGCCTACCTGCAGAAGGAATGTCTGCTCGGGCCTCCAACAGCCACCTGAAATATGTCTGGTATGATTCATCATTTCTGCTTTCCTGCTGCGTTTTTACGTTGATCCCATACTGCCCGTTCCCATCAAACCATGTTAAAAAGGCTTTTTCAGCATGTTTGCCCAACAGCTGCAAGATGGAGTTGTTCTGATTTGGCCATGATTCTGCTCAGAGATGTTTGAGTCCTGCTTCGTGCAACAGAACCAGGCAGAATGTAGATTTTCAAAGTTCTCACTTGAACTCTGAGTTTTATTCAAAAAAATTCAGGAGCTGCTCCAAGAATCGTAAATGTCTGACAGGAAGGTCAGAAACAGGTTGACACTCAGCTACAGGAAGAAAATGTGTTTTTAGATTTCATCATCTAGGAGGAGCTAGATCTTCAAATCTGTAAAGGAGGAGGGGGCTCTTTTCTATGTTCATGTCCTGGTTTTAGGACTAAATGGAGACAGATGATTGGATGTGGCGACCCCTGAAGGGTAAAAAGAAAAGAGAGAAAGCTCAAACTTCCCAGATATGAAACTGGTTCCCATCAGACACTTTTACTGCAGCTGGGGGTCAGACCCAAACCCCCCAGCTGGTCCTGTCGCAGTCAGAGACGAGACCGAACACATTCCTCACTAGAAAGCACAGGTGAGCTCAGAAATGGGCAGGGCTAAAAGAGCTGCAGAGGAACACATCCAGCTCCTTCCAGGGATCCAGAAGCGTTCCCAGGTCATTAAAGATGCATACTGGGGGAGTTTCCGCTGAGCTTGACCGAGTAGCATGTGTCTCGTAGTAGCTCCACAGGGAGGGCCACAAATTGTATTTTTTAATATCTCCAAGCTCAAAAAATTGCACTATTTTGGTGCTGATATTAATCTTTACAATCTTCAGTATGGCAACATCCCAAACCAGGACCAAATCTACCAAGCCTGCCAGTCGCCTGAATCTTCAGAGAAGCTATGCTAATGAAGCTATGCTACGGAGCTTTAATGTAAAAGCAGTGCCACAAAAAGAAAAACACTTAAATGAACAGATGTGCTGTTCCACTGGTTCCAGAGCCCGGAGGAGTTCTGCTGTGTGGTGGAGTTGCTAATGCTATGGTTAGCTTCTGCTAGCCGAGATGTTCTCTGCTGCTTCCTGAATGCTAAGCCAATCAGAAACTAACGCAGAAGATAGGTGTAGGAGACTATTTTCAGCCTGCAGAGTTAGAATCTGAGATAACCAACAAAACGGGTTTTTTCGGTGAACCACACCTTTAAATGAAATCACTTATGTAAATATTTGTAAGTGTTTACTTTTATTAAATTGTAAATCGAATATAAAGGTATTCAAAAATGTAATATTCCATTAAAATATGGATTATCAATATTATTAAACCTTTAATATTCGATTGATGATGAAACTACGTACTTTGGGTCAAATTATTAGTGTTGGTTCCCTGGCATACCCACAGACAAATATAGTTTATAAAAATGTATTTATTACTGTATTTCTACTGCTAGGATGACGCAGGACAAATGATTATAAATGATGATTTGAGGTTATATCGACTGATCGTGATCTTAGATGTTGCTGAGAGCCTAATGAAGTGACTCAGAAAGCTGTGATGTTATCTGGCTGAATGTTACCGAGTCATCAAAATAATCTTCCAGCGCAGAGCTGCGGTTTACCCTGGGCTCTCTGCGGTCCGGCGAAGTCGGCTCGACGCAGCTGTCCAGTGGAATTAGACTTGTGGTATCCCAAAGGTCGTAGCCCCTTTCAGAATACAGATCAGCTGGTTGAAGATAGATACCCCTCGGGTCTGCTGGCGGGTCCTTCCACGTCTGATGAGTTGTTTGATCCTGAAAGTGTGGTTCTTGCAGCTGGTTTGATCCCCAAAGATGTTACTTTAGCCTGAAGGCTGGACACCTTGCTCTAACTGAAGTTTATGGTTTTAAAGGTCTGTTTTTTCTACGTTTGGACCGACAGAAAGTTCAGGAGGAGTTACCAAAGAGCCCTCAGACACGTAGAAAAGGCTTATTTCACTTATTATGTGAAGTAAATACGACATAACAGTCATTTGTTGATAAACTGGTGGTAATATGTGACATCACTGATGATAAATCATTATGAAATCATCAAGTAGACTCTTTGGGCATTGCAGTAATAAACAGTTCATTACTGATTCATCATTACTGTAAAGCAATCGAGACATAAATGACTTTATTAACCTGAGAAGTAGGAATTGAGACCAAATGAGGTCCTCCTGTTAAAGTTAGGACCTTATGGCTTCCAGACACACAGGCAGGAGACCAGCCTTGTCCGATGGCGAGGTCAGAAACGGCGTGTTTAAGGTTGGAGAGCACAACGCACTCCGGGCAGACAGTTAATGTCTGGCGACCTCTGACCTTTCCTACGCTACACATAAAATAACATTTAAATGGAAATGTGAGGCTCCTGGTTATGGTGGGACTTTCTGCATGAATGACTGGCATGGAGGCCACCAGCCTGTGGCTCTGCTCAGGTGATGAACTTCAGATCATCTGCATTGTTGGGTCTGCTGTCTCTTCTTCCTCCTGACGGTAACCGTCTGTGGGGTTCGGGTGGACCCTGCCACCATAGATTTGTCTCAGGCTGTTTATAACATGTTGTAAACTCTCGCAACAGGTCGGCGAGGCCCTGCAGCAGCAGACGGGGAACCTCCATCACAAGCTGGACTAATTTAGTTACAGCAGTCTTTGTGTTGTCATAACCCTGCTGGTTGTTGGCTGTGACCACAGGAAGATGCTGCAGTCTCTGGGACGACCGGAGCTCCACATGGCCCTGGAGGTGACCATCGTCAGTGGGTCAGGTCAGGAGCATGCTGGCTGCCTGCTGCTCACCTCGGAGGTGTTGTTTGTTGTCAGCTTGAGTGAAGACACCCAGCAGCAGGCCTTCCCCATCACAGAGGTAATCTCAGTCAGGAGCAGAACTGCTGGTCTTGGCGATGGGAATGTTGACCCTTCCGTGGTGTTTAGGTGGAGTGTCAGCTGGAGCCAGAGCAGCAGAACCAGCTCACTCTCACACTGCAACAGCAGACGGTCAGCAGCGACTCTGAGGTGAGACAGCTGGGTCACGCACTCAATGAACACATGAGGAAAACTCCCAGCTAACAGATGACATGAGATATAGCGATTCATTCAGAAAGCCTTTGGGTCCATTTAAAGAAACAGTTGTGGCTTCAGCTTTCTACACTACTCAAAATATGAAGGGGACATAGAAATAAAACATCCTAGATCTGACTGAATGAAGTATTCTCATTAATTATTATGCACTGACAACAAAATCACACTGTGTGTATGGCCTCCACAGGCTGCATGACCTCCCAACAACACCTGAGGGATCTCCTCCCAGACCAGGGCCTCATTTATCAAACGTTGGTAGAAACTGTCCTATAATCCTTCCTACAAATGTTACGAAAAGTCAAAATCCTGATTTATGAAACAAGCTGTGACCTCTCCTATGCACGTTTCTCCAAAATCTACTTGAAAAGTCCCACCAGCATGTACCCAGGTCCTCGTGTCCGTTAGTTCAGTCGTTTCCATACAGAAACGCCCTCGTTAACCATAACTGGTCACATCTCGTCCCCTACAGCTCATGAGGGGGATCTCCCGTAGAGTAAGAGGTTCTCTGGTGGTCGTCTACAGGTTCTAGCAGCTGTTTTTCCACAGACATAATTATTTACTGAAGGATTCACCATCTTGGTGTTCTCTGGCAAACGTCCTGCACGGTGCTGGGCTGTAAACACCCATACCCCCCTAAACTGTCATTTAGAATGACTTCATCTACACTGCTGATGTTATCCTCTAATGTATTTCTGATTAGCTGAAGTCTGCATCAGTTGCCATGACAACATCATTAGCACACGTCTATGACGTGATCCAGATCAGTGTCATTATGCATCCCTCCTCAGGGCGATGGTGTCCGTGAGCGCCTGTCGGAGCAGCAGCATCAGCGGCTGGTGGATTATGTGACACGAGCTTCCCAGTTCGTCTCCCCGGCGCCTGCGTCGCTCCAGCTGCAGCCCCCAGTAACGCTCGCAGAGCCGCCTCCGTCCGTCACAAAGTGCTACCACTACCTGGTGGATCCTGCCTCTGCCAAAGTGTTTGTTAGCAGGTTCACCGCGGTGAAGAACAAAGCCTTACGTATCGGATTCCACTGATTTACACTAAAACAGCTCAGATCCTCCGAGTCTGAAAGGAACAAGGTTCACCTTAAGTCTTATTTTCTTCTTCCTGTTTATGCAAATTCTACTTGGGATGTAAAGTTTTTATATAACTGGTCACATATGCCTTAGCCATGTAAAAATGTGTAGAAGTTTTTTCTGACGAAGTTCTAGCTGCCACAGAAACCTGGGATGTGATAAAGCGCGTCTATGACAGTGAAGGTTTGTTACATCATCAACGCTACAACGTGTGTGTTTACATTTTTAAACAGTCCAATGCCAATCTAAAGTGTGTCCAGATGTTTAACACTGATTCTTGTACTTTGTGTTGATACCAATCCCAGACCATGCAGATGTGTTATGTAAATCTATAATATGTAAATGTAGAAACTTCCTATTAAAAGATGTTTAATCAAGATGGAAAGTAAGACCGTGTGTTTCTGGTATCTGCTGCAGGTCAGCTGTTTTATTCATTGCTCTGATGATGCTGAGTCTTTTTCATGCCAAAGTAGAGATGTACGGCATCACTTCTTCCACTGGCATCTCATTCATGCTGCGAGCTGCAAGACGTCCTGCAGTAAAACAGAGAGGTTATGTGTGTGTGTGTATGTGAGAGAGAGAGAGAGGGAGAGACCTGCTGTCCGGCTCACCTGGTCTTGGATCTGATCAGCTGTTTGCTGTTGGGAGGTGCTGGTGTTTTGCGGACGAGGCTGAGCAGGAGAGACAGAATTTAAGCCGCTGCTCGTTTATTTGATTATTTTTTATAGATAATGTTTTTGCCTGTGTGTGTTTGTGATGAGAAAATACATCTCATGAACCTCCAGAAAGGACTGATTAAATCCTCAAAAATGAATCCTAAGCTGTGCGTCTAGCTGGAGCCGCCAGGCTCGACCCTTCTGGCGAAAAGGGTCCAGCCTGGTGGTGAATGAAGCTCTGTGGGCGCGCACCAGGAGGACATTTCTACAACTGTGGGTCTATCTGACCATTTCTGTGTTTGTCTGGTTGTCTAAATACAGATTCAGGTAAAACATCTGTCCTGATGATGCTCCATCTCACTGCAGCTGTTGATACTGTGGACCACAACATCCTTCGGATAGGCTCATAAACTGGGTGGGACTATCGGGTACAGTCCATAGTCTGTTCTAATCATGCCTCGCAGACAGGAGTTATGTTGTTTCGATTGGTGGTCATAAATCAAAGCTGATCACCATGACATGTGGGGTCCCCCAAGGCTCAATTCTTGAACCACTGCTCTTCAACCTCTACATGCTCCACCTGGGTCAGGTCATAAACAATAACAATATTACCTATCATAGTTATGCAGATGACACCCAGATCTACCTAGCTCTATCACCTAGTGACTGTGGTCCTCTAGACCCACTCTGTCAGTGTTTGGGGCAAGTTAATGACTGGATGCAGTCAAACTTCCTCCAGTTAAACAAAGACAAGACTGAAATTATTGTCTTTGGAAGTAAGAAGGACAGGATGGAGGTTATTGCTCAGCTTGACTCCAGAGGAATAAAGACCAAGACCCAGGTTAGAAATCTTTGTGTCATAACTGATTCAGACCTGAGCTTCACTGGTCACATTAAGGCTATAACTAGATCAGCGTTTTATCATCTGCCTCAAACAACATGACTCAGAGGTCTCATGTCCACACTCCAGACAAGACCTAGAGAAACTCATTCATGTGTTCATCGACTGCAGGCTGGACTACTGCAATGGTCTCCTAACTGGTCTTCCCAAAAAAGCTGTGAAGCAGCTGCAGCTTGTTCAGAATGCTGCTGCTAGAGTCTTAACAAGAACCAAGAGAACCAAACACCACTCCTGTTCTTAAATCTCTACACTGGTTACCAGTAAACTACAGAATCCATTTCAAAGTGCTTCTACTAGTTTATAAATCACTCAATGGCGTGGGACCAGAATACATGTCAGACCTCCTTCAGGTATCTACACCCAGCAGGGCTCTGTGAGCCTTAGGAAACAGTCAGCTGGTCGAACCGGGTCAGAACCAAACAGGTGAAGCTGCTTTTAGCTACGATGCTGCTCACAGATGGAATCAGCTTCCTCATGACCTCAGATGTGCCCCAACTCCAGTAACATTCATGTATTCATCAGCCTTTGAATAAATGTTCTTATGCTGCACCTTCTGCTCTGTAACTGCTCAACGTTTAACTTTGTTTCTTTTTTATTTTTAAATTGTGTTTTCTGTCACGTTGGTTTTAATGTTCTTGATTGCTAATGGAAAGCACACTGAATTGCTTCTGTGTATGAAATGAGCTTTATAAATAAAGCTGCCTTGCCTAGTTGTCCCCAGGGCTGTTCAGCTTTTAGAGGACACGCCACGCCGACAAATCAGTGTACTACTGCCACCACAGTGGCTTATGAACGTGCCGTGGCAGCATGGCAATGCGGGAATTTTGCGGCATTCATACCGCCACGCTTGGTAGTAATGTTACCGCAACACCAAGTGTTTTCTTCATGGTTTGTATTCTTTTTACCTGAGAGAGTGCTAGCAAACATACCAGAGGCTTTGGAAGGGGGCGTCTCAAACTTACTTTGTTTCCTCAGCAGCTTTTCCTTCTGTTCCACATCAGCCATGTCCTTTGAAGATGCCCACAGCACCTGAAAGAAACATCAGAACCATCAAAAGGGACTATTTAGATCTTCTTCCATTGCAGGTGGCTTTTAATAAACTGGTTTAAAGAACTAAATCCATACAAGTTCAACCATTTTAAAGATTTGAACAAGAATGTTTTGGTTCTTAGACATCGTTCACCTCAAGAAGATTCAATTTGATTCTAAAGGATTCGAGCCACATCCTGAACAGAAAGGATGCTCTCTGACTACCATGACCAGAAATGAGCTCTGCTGAGAATCTGCACACGTCTAAAATGTTCAACCTTTTCATGAGCAGTGGTCACCGCTGACAACTGATTCTTATTTTTCCTGTTTACCTTTGATGTACTTTCTTCCATTTCTTCTTCCGTCTCATCCTCCTCTAACTCTCTCTCCAGCTCTTCCTTTACAAAAAGAAGTTAGACTGGATTCTTTCAGGAATTTTGTAAATTCCTATAATTATATATATTTTCTCCTCACCAGTGTGATTCTCATTGCGGCTATCTCCTCCTCTTTGCTTTTCTGTCTCCGTCTTTTGGCTCTGTATTGTTGCTGCTTCCTCTGCAGCAAAGCAAGAAGCTGCTCGTCCGAGAGACTGCTGCTAAGCTCCTGGAACTCGGGCCAAAACCTCAGCAACTTATCAAACACTGACATCTAAATGAGCAAATAGGCAACATGAAGAACACACAGATGTCCTCTGTATTTACACAGTAACACCATACCTGTGCCTCTCTGAAGATGTAAGGGTCCACCTCATAGCGTTTCTCCAGAATCCGCTGCACCTGGCCTGGAGGGACGTCTATCCGCAGAGCGGGGGACATGCAGGTGTGGATGAAACAGTCGATGAGAACAGAGATTTTGTTCTGGAGGACGACCTCGTCACAGTGGGAGTGAAATAAATCCTGCAGACGAGAAGAACACAAGAATAAAATGGTCTATAAGCCCCAACATGTCTGTTCTGAATGAAAAAAGTAAAAACTAGGATGACTCCTAAGAGACATTCCTGTTGTCTGAATTAATGATGACCCAGTAGTATTGGCAGTAGTAGCCCAATTTATTTTTGAAACATATTCACTTCCATGACTATTCTATCATAGTTGTATAGTACAATATATATATATATATTTTTTTTTTTTTTTTTTTTTGAAAAATGGACTTGGTACAAGTCTAGACATTCCAGGCTGTAGTTCTTTTTTAAAACAGAACAGTTTTGTTACCTGTTTTGTCGCTACGTTTCATTTGCGGCTGCAGACTTCCTCAGGCTGACGCTGATGGTGGCGTCACTTCCTTCTCAGTTTATCCGAGGGCAGCAGAGGACGTTGTCGCCCTCTGCTGCCCGCCGCTCTCCCCTCTCCGAAGATGCAGTCCCATGCGCGGTCCAACGTGTAAACTCTATCGTCCCTGTTCATGGTCCCACATCTCCTTATCTCTATTGCTTCTTTTATCCATCTTTTGTATTTTTGTTGTTCGGTGTTTGTGATCCTTGTGTTGTCCCAGTCCATTATATGGTTTTCTCTTATGCAGTGATCAGTTACAGCTGACTTCTTTATTGTACTTTCTGCTTCTTCTTTTGCTGCTCGTGTGTTTTCGACTTGCCTCTTTCTCGCACTCCTTTCTACGTTCTATTGTTCGTGTGTTGAGTTGGCGTCCGGTTTCTCCTATGTATGCTTAATTGCAGTTTGCATGTTTTAAAAAAGAACTACAGCATGGAATTACAAATACGACACAGCAAGAACACACCCAAGAAGTCTAGACATATTAGGCCTACCCCTTAGATGTAGATTATCCTTTACTAAAGAAAAATTGTTTTTCACTTTCCATCCATTCATCCTTTTTCAGTCACTTATCAGGGGTCGGGTTGCAGGGGCAGCAGCCTAAGCCGAGAGGTCCAGACTTCCCTCTCCCCAGCCACTTGGACCAGCTCCTCCGGGGGAATCCCAAGGTGTTCCCTGGCCAGCTGAAAGACATGGTCCCTCTATCATGACCTGGGTCTTCCTTTGGGTCTCCTCCTGGTTGGACGTGCCCAGAAAACCTCACCAGGGAGGTGTCCAGGAGGCATCCTAACCAGATGCCAGAGCTACCTCAAGTGGCTCCTCTCAATGTGGAGGAGCAGTGGATCTACTCCAAGCACCTCCTAAATGACGAGCTTCTCACTATCTCCAAGGTAGAACCCAGCAGCCATGCAGAGAAAACTCATTTTGGCCGCTTGTATCCGCGATCTTGTTCTTTTGGTCTCTACCCAAAGCTCGTGACCATAGGTGAGGGTAGGAATGTAGATCAATCTGTAAATCAACAATGACAGACCGGTACAAAGTCCGCATCACTGCAGACGCCTGTCGATCTCACGCTCCAGTTTTCCCTCACTCGTGAACAAGACCCAGAGATACTTAAACTCCTCCACTTGAGGCAGGACCTCATCCCTGACTCGGAGAAGGCATTCTGCCGTTTTCCGACTCAAGACCATGGTCTTGGATTTAAAGGAGCTGATTCTCATCCCAACTAATTCACACTCAGCTGTGAACCGCCAGAGATCACGTTCTGATGAAGCCAACAGGACCACATCATCTGCAAAAATCAGAGACCTGATCCTCGCCTGGTTGGGCGAATTCCCACGCACCCCCAAGGGTAAAGAGCTGGTCCAGTGTTCCACAGCCACAATGAAAACCACATTGCTTCTCCTGAATCTGAGGAGTGACAATCCGATGGACCCTCCTCTCCAGAACCCCTGAATAGACCTTACCAGGAAAGCTCATGAGTGTGATCTCCCTGTATTTGGAACACACCCTACGGTCTCCCTTTTTAAATAGTTACACCACCCCAGTCTGACAATTTAGTGGCAGCCGCGACAGCTAACAACTACATCAACCAGGGCCTTAAGGAAATCCGGGCAGATCTCATCCACCCATGGGGCCTTGCCACTGAGGAGCTTTCACACAACCTCACTGATAGGGACAGGTATTGAATTTGTTACTTTTTAAGGCACTGACCGAATGCCGATTCACGTCATATGAAACAGTGCCTTGTTTCGTTACCCGTTCTTCATAACAAGAACTTGCAAGAGTAATTTGCCAAGATAGACAGCAGTGCCGGCACTAGAGTGTAATGTTGTCAGTCACTGTGGGCGAGCTGTAAATGGAGAAGCAGTATGGCAGAGAGGAAATGCTCTAAAGTTTGGGTCCACTTCACTAACTGGGATGGGCAACTGGGTGATACTGAAACCAGTGACGATATAAGTGAGGCATTATCATCTTAATCTGCTTTGGTAGGTAAATGAATTGTTTAAGACTACGTTAGCTTGATAAATTAGCTTCTGTTCAGCTAACTGTGCATTTGCTTTCTCTTCGGAAGTCCGAAATTCCGACTAGAAGAAAGCGAATGCGCTCTAAAGTTTGGCTTCACTTCACTAAATGCGATGGGCTATTGGGTGATGATGAAACCAGCAACAACGATCTAAGTGTGAGGCATCAATCTGCTGCAGCAGCAAAATAATCAGTTTAAGATTACGTTATTTTGATACTAGGTAATGGTGGGTTCACTTTATCCTCGGAAGTTCCAACTTCCGAGTAGGAAAAATCAACTATTGGAAAAAGAACGGCAAAAGGAATGAAGATGCACAGTAAATTTAGTCCACAGCAAATATGTTTGCTTCATTTTAATTTGCAGTCTCTAATACTACAAAGACCCACCCATCAAACACTTTGTCCAGAGGGGAAAGGAGAGGATTAGGAGTACATGGAGCTGGGTTTCACTTTTTGCATCATTTAGAAACAGTTGTGGTTAAAGGTTTTCATATTGAAGAATTTTGTACAAGACTATGATGATAAAATACAAACAGCTTGCTATTTGTCATGATATTTATCAAATACGGTTATATATAGGTTAGGGATCAGACAATGAGCAGCCCACAGACCCCTTATGAAGAACAAGACAAATGGAAACAGTGTTCCCACGTCTAAATGCGGGTCACCAGGGCCCCCCTCTGAAGCCAGGCCTGGAGTTGGGGCATGTTGGCGAGCACCTGGTGGCCGATCTTTTAACCATGGAGCTCAGCCTGCACAGCCCAAAGAGAAAACATGGGTCCCCCTTTCCATGAGTTCACCACTCGTGGGTGAGGCCAATGAGGTTGGTTGCATTGTGTGTCAGGTGGTAGCTGAAGACAGGGACCTTGGCAGTCTGATCCTCAGCTCCAAAAGCTAGCTCTCAGTACAATGAATGTCACCTCTCTGGTGGGGAAGGAGCCACAATTGGTGGGTGAGGTTGAGAGGCTCCAGCTAGATATAGCTGGACTCACCTCATTGCATGGCTCTAGCTCTGGAACCAGTTTCCTCAAGAGGGATTGGACTTTCTACCACTCTGGAGTTGCTCCCACTGGGAGGCGCCAAGTAGGGGTGGGCATACTTGTTGCCCCCCATCTTGGTGCCTGTACGTTGGGGTTTACCCCGGTGAATGAGAGGTTAGCCTCCCTCTGCCTTCGTGTGGGGGGACGAGTTCTGACTGTGGTTTGTGCTTATGCACCAAACTGCAGTTCAGACAACCCACCCTTTTTGGAGTCCTTGGAGGGGGTGCTGGAGAGCACTTCTTCAAGTGACTCCCTCATTCTGCTGGGGGACTTTAACGCTCATGTGGACAACGACAGTGAGACCTGGAGAAATGTGGTTGGGAGGAATGGCCCCCCTGATCTGAATCTGAGCGGTGTTTTGTTACTGGACTTCTGTGCTCGTCATGGATTGTCCATAACGAACACCCATGTTCAAGCATAAAGGTGTTCATATGTGCTCTTGGCACCAGGATACCTTAGGCCGCAGTTCGATGATTGACTTTGTAGTTGTTTCATCTGATCTGCCGCCGGTGAAAAGAGGGGCGGAGCTGTCAACTGACCAATGCCTGCTGGTAAGTTGGATTCAATGGTGGGGGAGGATGCCGGTCAGACTCGGCAGGCCTAAACATATTGTGAGAGTCTGCTGGCAATGTCTGGCAGAGTTTCCTGTCAGAAGAAGCTTCAATTCCCACCTCCGACAGAATTTTGAGCACATCCAGAGTGGAAGAGGTGGACACTGAGTCTGGGTGGTCCATGTTCCATGCTTCTATTGTTGAGGCCGCTGACCGGAGCTGCAGCCACAGGGTTGCCAGTGTCTGTCATGGTGGCAACCCTTGAACCCGCTGGTGGACACAGAAGGTTAGAGATGCTGTCAAGCCGAAGAAAGAGAACTATCAAGTCTTTTTGGCCTGTGGGACTCCAGAGGCAGCTGATGGGTACCGTCAGTCCAAGCGGAATGCGGCTTGGGTGGTCGCGTAGGCAAAACCCAGGGCAAGGGAGGAATTTAGTGAGACCATGAAGCAAGACTTCCGTATGGCTTTGGCAGTGCGCTACCAACACTGTTTACAGTGGTCACAAAGTGCTGCTGACCTCTACATTGTGGATCGGTGGGCAGAATACTTTGAAGACCTCCTCAATCCGTACATCTTCGAGTGAGGAAGCAGAGTCTGGGGACTTTGGGTTGAACTCAAATTTCTGGGGCCAAGGTAACTGATGTGGTCAAAAAGCTCCTCAGTTGCAAGGCCCCGGGGGTGGATGAGAGCCGCCCGGAGTTTCCTAAGAATCTGGATGTTGTGGGGCAGTGTTTGCTAATGCGGGTCTGCAGTATCGCGTTGACATCGGGGGCAGTTCCACTGGATTGGCAGACCGGGGTGGTGGTCCCCCTATTTAACCCTCCCACTGTCCTAATGGGTGTGACCCCGCGAGGAAAGTTGACCATTGAGCAGGGCTGATGGTTTATCCCTTGGGTCCATGTGACAGGGGTGAGAAGTGGAGGAATCCAAGATGGCTGCCGAGTAGGTGTGGTGAGATTGCTGAGCTTTCCTAATATATGAATATCATCAAAATAAGACAACATCCACCTTT